GAAGAAGAGGAAGGAGGCTTGCTGGTTGTTCCTACTTTTCAAGAATGTGGAAGGGAGCAACAAGCAAGGCGTAGGTCAGCCAGGATTCCTGAAAAGACTCACAGCAATCAGACCACTCCTCAGAGACACATGTGCAGATCCAGGACCATAAATCAGGAACAGGGGAAATAGCCCTCGCTGACAGCAACTGATCCAATTACCTAGTTTTTGTTCCTGTAACTGTTTCAGCAAGAAGTCTAATCTTTGTAAGTGTTTTTGCCTTGGGAAGAAACTATCAAAGTCTTTACTTTGCTCAGCCAAGAGACTCTTGCCTAGTTTTGTGAACTTGCTTTTGTATATTTGATTTTGCTACGTTAAACTCTACTAGAGTAAAGATGTTTGATTTCCTTTAAACTTGGTATTAAAGGCTATCCTTGGGGCAAAACAGAACAAGATCAGTACCCACCAACATTCAACAAAACATGTCCTCTAGGAATATTTGTAGCTCCTCATGCAATTCTGTGGTATATTTCTTCCAAAAGTTACCAAAGAGTTCTGCTCACAGATTCCTAAAGAAGATACAACTCTAGGATATTTTTTTAGGCTCTTCAGCATGATTCTATGGCAACTTCTGGGAGTAGTAATTCAATAGGGTTCACTATTATCCATGGTTTCCTGTTTCCACGGTAAGTTCCGAAATGTATCCCACACTGATATGGGGGTTGTACTATACAGCCTTTCCACGTGATCATGACAAACAGACTAGCATGCATGCACACATGCAGCCACTTCTGAAAATACTATGCATGGACAGCATAATGTTACCAAAGAGATTCACATCTCTGTACCACATTCACATATGCATGTCAAGGACAGGCATTGCTACAGGCTTCAGCTGGGAAAGTGGGAAGATTGAAAAAGAAAATGGGAGCAAATGAAATGGAATAAGATGTTGCCTGTCTTTGTTTTGTTGTTGCTAACTATACACATAGGAAAAACCCAGGAGACCTAGGTGCCATGTGGCCTCTAGGATACACAATCCTGGAAACCAGGGTGGAAATTTGTATTTTTTGTATGTTCATCTCTCAAATGATTATTTGGAGAACCTGCTCAGAATTTCATCTTTCATAGAAACATTGGACAAAAAATACCATATTTTAGAGCAGACTACGACATCCCCTACCAATACTGTAACACAGAGCTTTCCAAACTTTTCTTGTTGGTGAGACACTTTTTAGACATGCATACTTTTGCAACACGGTAATTAAGTTTTGCTAGCAAACCGGAGGCTAAACCGACATCTTATAGGAGTTTGTATATTGTATGAAACATTTCCAAACCTCATTTATACAGTAATGAGGTTTGGAAATGTTTCCTTTACACTTCTTATGTACTTCAGTTGATTCTTGTGTAGTTTCCTCGCTCCATGTGGTTCATCACAAACATCATTGTCAACAGATTTTGTTTTCTATTAATTAGAAACATCTTTGTTTTACTGGTAATTACTTCAATTCAATCAACACATTGTGAAAATTATAAAACTTACAACAGTACCTGCACTTGAACAGCATGAGCACTCCACTTCTGTGCTGATTAAACCTCTCTCAAGATTTTTAAACAGAGGTTTAATGGTCAATGCTTTGATTGTGCATTACTGCCTGGTTGAAAAGGGTTAGACTAAATGCCCTTTGAGGGTCTCTTCCAATGGAACCTCCTTCTCTAGAAGATCTAGAATCGAGACTGGGTGGCTCTGTTGGGAGGGCTTTGACTATGTCTTCCTGCTTGGCTGAAGGTGCATGGACTGGATGCCCTTTGAGGGTCACTGCTTACTCTGAGCTTCCTTTCCCACTGCGGCCGCTGCTCTTGAGCCCCTCCTCATTCTCACTCTCCTCCCCATCGTCTTCCTTCCTTGCTGGGCAGCTTTTGTTTTTGGAGGGGGGCATTTTTCATGTGACACACCTAGAGACCGGGCTGTAGTGCAGCTAATTAGTAGCCAGCTGTCAAGTAGGAATTTTAGGTACCGCTTTATGCAAGGAGGATAATGTAACTTATTTACGCCTCCATAAAACCTTCCAGCAGCAAGTGTAAGAACAAGGAAGTACTCCATCAAGGACTCAGTGTCACAAGTGGACAGTGAAGCAGCAGCTCCCCCTGTGGCCGGAATCGAGTATACCCTCATGAAGCCAGAAAGCTGGAATGTTAAATTGCCTCAGTTTCTGTCTATATATGTTGTATGTCTAATGGCACTGAATGTTTGTCTTGTATATGTGCATTGTAATCCACCCTGAATCCCCTGCGGGGTGAGAAGGGCAGAATATAAATACTATAAATAAATAAAGACTACAGACGGCACACTAGTGTGTCATGACACACAGTTTGGAAAGCTCTGCTATAACAAATGTTTCACACCCTGTAGTTTATTTTCTATGCACTCTGATATTGAGCATTTCATAAAGGCCAATAATGGATAGTCATATGATATTCCTATATGACAGTCTCTTGTATTTCATAGAATCACAGGGTTGGAAAAGACCACAAGGGCCACCCAATCCAACTCCCTGCCATGAGGTGAGAATGGGTATGACTTCTTAGAGCATGTACCCTAAATGCACATTCAGCATGAGAGAAACTTATGGATGGAAACATGAGTGGCATGTTGTATTGGGGCACAAGGAGTGTCCACAGCCCCTGGATAGCAGAGAAAAAAGATAGCAGAAATAGCAAGTTGCTGGAAAGTTACTGGTAGTATTTCAGCAGAATAGTCTGAATTGGAAATGGCACTGGACATATTTGGATTTTTTGGAGAACCAATGGAATTTATGAAACTCCCCTTTGACTAATATGAGTGTTGCTCACTCTTACTTCTGGGGCTATCTACTCTGTCTGGTCACCATTTCCTAGGATATCAGAAATAATTATTTCAAACTTTCAGACTGAAAGCCAGTTTGGTTTAGTGGCTAAAGTGTTGGGCTAGGACACTGCAGAAGCAGGCCTCAGCATATGAAACCCACTGGAGACCTTGGGCAAGTCACATTCTATCAAGCTCAAAAGGAAGCAGTGTCAAACTCACTCTGAACTAATATTGCCAAGAAAACCCCATAAGTAGGGAATTATTTGATGGCACAAAACAATATGCTTTCTAGAGTCTTCTTAGCTGCCTAATAAAATAGATCTAGTCCTATCCATATCTACTTGCCCCTTCCTCCAGTGTAAGAAATCTGCAACAGCATGGGTCTTGACTCACTGTAGATGAGTGAATATTCTAAATCCAAACTAACTACTGTCAACGTATTAGTTCTTTTCACCTTTGCGGAGAATAGCTGGAAAGACATGTGCACATAGGGATCCACCATCACCGCAAATGTTGACATAGTTAATGCTCCTTGGAATGTGAGGGAAGCTAGAGTTCTAGGAGTCTGGGTGTGATCACCATAAGAAGCCAAAAATGGAAACAGGGCAATGTTTACAACACTCTTGCTTGAAGCCAAGATTCCAAGCCTAAACCAAATCTGAGAGTTTACAAGTCCACTATGGAAACTTAATTATAGGAACCAACAAAGTCAGTGTCCCTCAGGAGTTAACAATGATGCCAGGTTAGACTAATGAGAACTTTGAATCAGTCCCCAGTTCTGCCACAGACAAGGTATGTCCCATAGCTGTCATGGCCACCTCTGAGCTTCTCAAGACATGGTTGGCAAGACATGAAAGGTGACTCCAAGCCAGTCAAGAAATCTCTTGAATAGCTCTGGGCCTTCTTATGTGGGAAATCTGACCTTCTCACATGACGTTCTGTTGTCAGGCACCAGGATGGAACCTGACTAGTTTTAAATCACTGGTTGAGGGGCATCCATGGCAATGGTAGTCCCATGACCTGAGTGGGGAACATTCAGCTTTCCAATTGTTAATGAGCCCCGACATCCATCATAGCTCATTATCTTGGCTGGCTTAAGTTGATGGAAGTCGCAGTCTTAGGAGATATAGAAGGGTACACTATCTCCAACCCAGTCTTTGATCTTCTGCAAAGTTGCATTTCCCAAGTTTGGTTCTTAGAGCTCCTGTTTGTACCTATCTTCCCTTTATTTTCCTGACCTCCTGATGGTAACAATAATTTATGGAAATGCACACAATTAATAGGCTCTTGTTCAGATTGCATCCACAGAGTGCCTTGTTAGCCAATTTAATGGTGGAGCTTAAATAAGGTATTTAAACCTTCTTCTGGAATCAACCAACAGTTGCTTTGAACTGGATATCTTGCATTGAATCATGCATTCCATATTGATTGTACGAGACCCTAGTTTACTATCTGGAACAATGTTAATCAGTAGAGAGGTTGACTGTCATTTAGGTTGATTCAACGTGTCAGACACTCACACTGTCTGGCAGCAAACGAATTATTCTCTAAGGGATGAGGGTAAGCTTGATGCTACAAGCACTTCATGAATATGTTCTTCCCAATGGGTGGCATCATTGAACAAAAGATGCATGACACTTCCAAGACAAATGCAACACTATATATTGTCCAGACTAAGAGATGGTCCCATTCCCTTGCAACCAGTGGTTATTGCTCATGATTTGAATTTGGGTTTTTGTGCCTTTATTTTTTTCCTTGTCAACACCTCATGCATTCCATTCTTTGTGCTTCCAGTTAATTAATTAATGGATTAATTAACTCTATTTGTATCCCGCCATTCTCTACCTCGAAGAGCACTCAAGGCGGCTTAACATATGGCAACTATTCAATCCCTTTGGACAACTAACAGTTAAAACCTTTAGAATTCCAAGTTCAATGCAATTGTGCTTTTCTGAATTCTACTTTTCAGATACAGTTAGAGTTTAGTACATGCTCGTTGTTTGCAACAGGCATTGCTTCTGATTATGGTTTGGCTTCCATTTACAAATGAAAAATAAAAATGGGGGAAATTAAAAAAAGCTCCCAAACCACATGTTTCCTTTTTTTCCTATGTGTATGTCAGAGCTCAAAACCAAGGGTGGCTCTTTCAGTACTTCTAGGTTACACTTACAAGTAAATGCTTGATTCGTTGCCTCCGATGTCAGGGGACTGAAGTTTCTGGACCAAGATGATGATGATGCCAACAAAAAGCATGAAGTTGATCTGGGAAGAAAAGAAAACAAACAGGAAGGATCCGTAAATTCCAGGGAACTACTATGATCGGGTGCCATAATTACACAAATAGCTGTTATTAATACTTGGATTTAATGTATGTATAACAAATACTGATGTTACCTGGAATATGTTACCTTATGTATTAATGATGGCATAACATTCTAATTTTCAGTTTAATAGTAAAATTAACATGGAAGGCTTTTGCATCCATTATGGATTTTCACCTATAGTACGACCTTCCCGTATCCACAGGGGATACTTTCTAAGATTCCTCCACAAATACCCCAAAATTTGGATAAAAATGGACACTATATATTGAGTACACAAAAAAATCTTGGTTTCTTGTTTTAGGTCTGTTCCAGGAGTTATTTGGGGCACTGATTCAGAAAATGGCATTGGATAGACCACATCAGTTCTAGTTCATGATTTTCTATGGGCGAGCAGATGGAGAGTGATAGATACTAGGCTTGTTTGATCCAAAAAAATGGTTCAAAACTTATTTTGGATCAGGAGGCACTGATGGTTCGATTCTAAAGACAATACCAATTTTCACAGAAAAAAAATGTTCAAAACTTTTCAAAACTTCTGAGACTTCAGAATCCTTTCATTCATGGTTTGAAAGTGTTATTTCCTGTTTCATTGGGTGGTCTTTACTTTGAACGTAGTTGTTTTTGTTAGCGAGTAGCAGAGTATCGCAGAAGCTCAGAATAATGGACTCTGGAGTCTCCGGTAAAAGCAGGTTTTCAGCTTTACTTAAGCAGCTCAAAATACACAACATACACCATCAGCGGACAGACGAGAAGAACGTAAACCGAAAGAGATAGGAAGTAATACAAACTGCAGCTGGAAGGAAGTTTATCTCTGGCACTCCCTAATCTTCCACAGAGCAAGAACTCAGGGTCACATTCTCACATCATGTTACTTTGCTGTTTAACCCTTCTGTGTCAAACTACATCCTGGCAATACAACTATATTACAATCACAATCCTATCACATAAAATTACATTTAAACCCACATCATACATGAATTACACACTGACAGTTTTACTCCAGGAGCAGGGGAAGCAAAGGGAGGAAATTCAGCCTTCCCTGGTTTAAAACTGGCTTTTCCGGCTTGAGGCAGAAGCGGGGAAAGCAAAGGGAGGAAATTCAGCCTTCCCCAGTTTAAAACTGGCTTCTCTGGCTTGAGCTGAGGCCACAGCCCAGAATAATTTCTGACTCACTTCCTGAGTTGGAAGAAAAATGGCGAGACTAGCTTCGGAAGGGCAAAGGGATTTCCGGTCTCCTAAAAAAGTTCAACATAGCATCAAAAAGGTATTTTTTCAGAATGTATTCCAAATTATGAAGATTCCAACTGGACCTAATCATGCCTAGTAGATACCGTATGTTCTGTATCTCAAAAACTAGAGATGATAGGGGAAAACTGGAGCCATTCTTGGACTTGTCAGGTCAAATATACACAGAAACAGGGATAACGTTGAAGGCACCAAAATGTGTGTTGGCCAGTGTTATCTACTATATTAACATTTCTTGATGTATTGATTGTGGAAATGAGCTCTCATTCTCCGGAAAGGTCTGTCACCTACAGCATGCTGACTGATGCTTAGCTCTGGCTCAGGGTGCCTTTTCTCTTGTATGGCTTACCATGATGGATGCCACCACAGGGCCTTTGATCACCCACCACAAGGCTGTGTTGCCATTTATGTCCCAGCAGCTGAGCCCCATCAGAAGGAAGGAGGCAGGAAATGAAAGAGATAAAGGAGAAAGATTAACATCCCAAGTGAAAACAAACAGTTCTGCTCCTAAAAGAATGACTCACAACTCAGGTTTATTTAGCACGATAATAAATCTAACATGATTTTGCAGTTGCTGCAACTAGAACCACCTGACTAATCCACTGGATCTACAGCTGGCCTTCCACCTTTGTGGGTTTAACTTTTGCAGATTTGATTAACATGTTTTCTCTAGAAATCTCTAAATTCTTCAGAGCAACTCTGTGGTCAACTTATGCCAGACACTGTTCCTTTGGAGGGTTTAAAGATTCCTAGAGAGAAAATTTCTCTAGGCATCAATAGATCCTCCAGGGCAACTCCAAGGTAGACCTTTGGCAGAAGTTAACCAGAGTGACCCTGGAAAACATAAAGATTCCTAGAGAAATGTTTCCTTGGTTTATTTTTTAATTAATTTTTGATTTTTCCACTTTTCCAGAGGTTCTGTAACCCCAACTCCTACAAGAGTGGAAGCTCTTACTGTACTCTGTACTCTTACTGTAATCCTTAAAAGAGATAATGATGACAGTGAGTTCGAATCCAAAAACAAGACCATCATCACCTTTAAGGATTTGTCCAAAGCAATGAAACTTATTTTCAACTCATGTTTTGCATCTTGGACAGCTAATTTAAAGTTCAGAGATAAACTACCCTACTGAAATGGGGCCATGATACAGCAGGGTTGCTATAAGTTTTTTGGGCTGTATGTCCATGTTCCAGAAGCATTCTCTCCTGATGTTTCACCTGCATCTATGGCAAGCATCCTCAGTGGTTGTGAGGATGCCTGCCATAGAGGCAAGCCAAATGTCAGAAGAGAATGCTTATGGAACATAGCCATACAGCCCAAAAAACTTACAGCAACCCAGTGATTCTGGCCATGAAAGCCTTTGACATGATACAACAGCTTAACTGGGATAGGTAAGAATTTTGTTTCCTATCAGTTTTGTTTTTTTTAAAAACCCCATATTCTTGAAAGACATATAAATAGATGTGTCAGAAACTGAAACCAATGTGGATGGGCAAGGATTTCATTCTGGTTGTGTTTTGAGAAAATCACAATCTTCATAAATTCCAATGTGAAGAAAGAAAGACCACTCTAGCACACATTTCCTCCCTATTGCTGTGCTTAGTATTTTATGCAGGCAGTTCTTTCCTTCTTCAAGCTGTAAGAGGTTCCCAAGAGGGATTGTCAAGCTTGTGTTCCTATCATGAGGAAGGCGCATCAGAGTGTTTCTCTGACACAAAAACAAACTGAACATACAAACACCCAGAGAGTTAGTGTTCCTCTCTGAAGCAGCCAATCGTATCAACTTGGAGCACCGCCTCTCTCTCAAAGGTGGATCTTAACTAGCAGACTTCACAACTCATAAGAGACTAGGCCATGACTAATACAAAATACTTAAAGCAAACAACTGAAACAGCATTTATCTAGAAAATGCATACATTTGGGCCCCCATATCAACAGGTTCTGCACCCATGAATTCCACCATGCACAACTTGAAAATAGTCAAAATAAAACTCCAGAAAAAGCAATCATGATCTACATTAAAGTTCTGCAACTCATCTGTGGTCATTATTTTTGTTTTCTGTTCAACTGTAAACCTGCCTCTTTCACTTTCTTCTGTTACTTCCTTCAGCAATCTTTCCAAGTCCTTACTATTTTCTGCTATCGGCATGGTTGTCACACACTAGGTCAGCAACATCTTTCCACCCAGCATCAGAGTCCATTAGTTGCTAACTACAGAAGTTCATTTGCAAAAGGCATATACAAAAGGGAAAAGGGGCCTTTCTCCAAAGGCAGTAGAAAAGGTATTATAAAATAGCAGTTGTCCAAAGTATAAAGATCAATAGTCCAAGACTGTAATGTCAATGAAATCCAAGGTAACAGGAAACATGGAATCCACAGTAGCAAAGTACATGAAGTCCAGAATAACAAGGTACATGAAAATCCAAGAAGTCATACCATAGCCAAAAATCCATAGCATGAAACAAGAACTTAAGCAAGACAAAAATCCATACAGGAACATAGGCAAACTTGAGAGTTGGTCATGAATGTGAAGTTAAAGCGAGGTTGTCTGCTCTGAAGCTCAAAGCAGGCCCAACAAACATGAGGTCATCTTTTCTGCAGCTATGTTTCAAGCACTGTTTCTCATGAATTCTTTCTGACTTTCTAATTAACTTTTTTTTTAGTTCCTTCCAAGCAGAGCCCTAATCTCATATCATGGGCCAACTCTCCATCTTCTGAAGGCTGAGAAGCTCAGGCAGACTGTTTCTCAAGAGAAACATCTTCTATCTCTTCTGCAGCTGTTGGCCCTGCTCTGTCTCTGTGATCTATGGCCTGCATTTCTGTCTGTGTTTCAACTTGAGGAATAGACACAGACTCAGTGAAAATCTCATCCTCAGAATCAGAATCCCCAGCATCCTGCTGAGCCCCAACAATAGTGTCCTCTGCATATCTGCAATTGTTGGTGTCCCTACCTCCAATTTTCACATTCCCTTCCACTATATCTAATTTTGTTTTACAAATTATATGTTCAGCACACAAATTAAATAGAATGGGTAATAAAATGCAGCTTTGCCTGACCCTTTTGCCAACTGGAAATTATTCCATTTTTCTGTATTCTGTCCTAACAGGGAACTCTTGTCCTGAGTATGTTGTGACATTCTCATTTCTTTAAGAGCAATCCATAGTTCATCATGGTTTTAATGCTTTACTATAACCTATAAAGAGTAGGCTGATTTTTACAATACAGTTCTGACAACAGTTTAATTCAGAACTCACCCAGATAGGAATAAAAATGACCAAGTCTTTGGAGGCTTGGAAAGAATGTAGACAAGGACTATCTAGTGTTACCTACCCAACATTATCAAAGTGAAGTCGAAGAACAGCCCAGACAGTGACACAAATGGTGGGAGTTCCTGTAGAAATAGAAGAAGATGATGATAGTGTTTAATGGATGTTTTTACATTAGTGCTCCTGGAATACTGATAGGGTCTCAGCTTACAGGTTTGGTCACCACTCAAAAATGGACATCAATAAAGAAATCCATTAAAATGGCATCCCGGGGGTACCAGGTCTTCATGATCAACGAATGGCAGAACTGATTTGAGTCCAAGCAATACAAGATTGCACCAAACATTGAATTCTAAATAGTGAAGACTACAATTTTATACAGTAGCAGCTAAAGCCTTACTTGACTGTTGATCCATCCATATGTTCAATGCCCATTCCCATTTCCTACAACCCTTCAGTTAGTTTTATGGTCTGTCGGGAGTGTTGGAAAAGTGAACATGGGAAATAAATAGCTGCCTTGAACTGAGAAATTGGGTAAACCTGGTTCAAGACAGCCAACCATAGCTATTGGAACATTGCCCCCATCTGAAAAGAGGAAGACTATAATTCGTTGGAGTGCTTCCCAACCTTTGGTTTCCAGGATTCCTGACAACGAATCAAACTGGATGGAATTGAAGTCTCAAATATCTGGAGGAACAACAGTTGGGAACCACTGATCTAGAATATTATCTAGAAGAGAATGAGTTAGGGTAAGGATGAAGTAGAGTTGGGAAATCGGAAGCAGAGTGTGAAGGAAAGATAGGAGGAAGGGAATGGAGAAGATCTGATGGGCTGGGTTGTGAAGAGTGGAGAGGGAATTCAAGGAGAAGTGTTACTTGGTTGGAAAGTATTATTATGTACTGCATGAACAGAACTGGAACAAGGCTAGATGTTTAGTTTAATTTGTTATGCACTAAGATCTGCTTATCCACGAGACCTTCCATGGAGTCCTGAAACTGTGGATAGTACCAAACTCTATATTTTTGGATTATGGTCAACTACTTACACTTAACTGACTAAATATTAATTTAAATATAGGGTGCAGTACAGAATAACAAGGGGCTTGGAAACAACACTTTCTGTGGTCAGGAGGAATGCATCCCTGCTAATTTACTGCCTGTCTATTCTCAGTTTTCCTCTCATTGTTTTCTGGGACACTTTACTGATGTATGAAGGTGGGAAGTCAATCTCCAACTGAAGAGCACCACAAAGTTGCACTGGAGGAATGAGAGATGGCCACAAAGATTTCCAATGATCCCATGAATAAGGGGACCTTAGAGTATAATGGCAAAATCCAAAACACCTGGAAGGCCAAAGTTTGCCAACAACTGCCCTAAATCCATGGAAAGATCTTGAAGGCAGAAGAGCAAGGTGATTGATAGATATCCAAAAATTGGAACTGTAGAACCAACTAGAAGTGGGCTCTTTCATACAAACCATTGGTCCATCAACCCCAGCATTGTGTCCAACTGTGTGTATATGTGATACCTTCACAAGTTATGTGTAAGGAAGAAATACCCAAAGAATTCTGCGAAACAAACCTACCCCATCCGATGATGGTATACCAGTAGAAGTATCGCCTTTCTGGAAAGAAGGTTTCAACCAATAAGGTGAAAAGGTAGAGTCCTTCAATGAAGAGCCAGAAATAGTTGGACATCACACAATAGTGGAAAAAGACCATCACTGCCTTGCATTCCACCTGAAAAAGGCAAACACAAATGTCAACATTTTGTTCAGTGAGGTGGTTGTTGACATGAATTCAGCACAGGTATGTTGGAGTGACTAAGTAGTAGTAGTAGTAGTAGTAGTAATTGCCATGGTAGTCCACACTCTAGTTACAACCTGAATAGACTACTGCAACACACTCTATTTGGGGTTGCCCTTGAAGACTGTTCAGAAGTTTCAAATGATCCAATGGATGGCAGCTAGATTGCTCACCGGAGTGGCATACAGGGAGCAGACAAACCCCATGTTATGTCAGCTCCACCAGCTGCCAGTCTGCTACCGAGCACAATTCAAAGTGATAGCTTTAGCCTATAAAACCCTAAATCAGTGGTTCTCAACCTGGGGTCCCCAGATGTTTTTGTCCTACAACTCCCAGAAATCCCAGCCAGTTTACCAGCTGTTAGGATTTCTGGGATTTGAAGGCCAAAAACAGGTTGAGAACCATTGCCCTAAATAGTTCTGGTCCATCTTAACTGTCTGGATGTATCTTCCTCTATGAACCGTCTCAGAATTCAAATTATCTGGGGAGGCACTGCTCTCGGTCCCAACTCTTTTGCAGGTGTGACTGGCGAGGATGAAAAGCAGGGTCTTCTCAGTGGTGGCCCTTTGGCTGTTGAACTCTCTCCCCAGGGTTATTAAATTGGCCTCCTCCCTCCTGACTTTCCAGAAGAGAGTGAAAATGTGGCTTTATGACCAAGCCTTTGGAGAATCTGTACAATAGTTTGATATGGAATGATATTCATTGACTACTGGAAGGGCTTGGATTACGCTTGTAGATTGCATGATTAATTGTGATGGTATTGCTTTAAATGTTTTTTATTGTTTTAATGTATTTTATAATTCTATTTTACATGTTTATTTTAATTATTCTTGTTTTAAGGTATCGGATAGTTGCCTATGTGTAAAGCCGCCTTGAGTCCCCTCCAGGGTTGAGAAAGGTGGTACAGAAATGTCGTAAATAATAATAATAATAATAATAATAATAATAATAATATGATTTAATAGTAGGAGCAGCAACAACAATAACGGCACAGCAGCAACATGAAGAACACAAGTAGCAGATGCTGTTTTTTGCTTCAAAAAGTATTGTAGAATGCGAATGGAACATTGTGAAAGACACTTAGAGAGTTCCATTGCAAAGTACTGAAAAGCAATTTCAGACATCAGGAGGCATTTTATGAAATCTTTCAGCACTCAGGAAGTGTCAAACTTTTGAGAGGAGGCTGAGAGGGAGGCTACAATGGCTGCTAATTGGCAGACTGAAGTCCTCCAAGCTTTTCTCAAATTCAAGAAATGAACCCAGCTGTGAACATATGCTTATGTGGGTACAGAGCAATTCCAAAGAAGGCTTTTGAATAAAATGGAAAGGGAGGGAAAAAAATAAACACATAACGAATTGCTAAGTAGCTTACAGAAGGCAGTGCCATGCTGGGTGATTTGGGAAACTTCATATCCTTGAATTTTGTGAAACTTGCTGGTGCTTGGTAGCATGATTGGACAAAATGAGAATAAGCATTCATGTACCAAGAATATCCAATAAGGGTTCCTAGCTGAATCCCTGTGGAACAAGTAGACAACTGAATACACAACTTGATGACCAATAGCTCATTTCTTCTCTCCACTTGATGATCTATGATACATGGAATTATGATATATGATACATAGAATGGTAGGAGTTGAAGTCCAAAACACCTGGAGGTTCAAAGTTTGCCACAGTCTGCCCTAGATCCATTGATAGTTCCTGAAGGCAGAAGAGCAAGGTGAATAATAGGAATCTGAAAGTTGGAAGTGTAGAACCAACTATAAGTGGGTGAATGATAGGAATCCAAAAGTTGGAACTGTAGAACCAACTGGAAGTGGGTGAATGATAGGAATCCAACAGTTGGAACTGTAGAACCAACTAGAAGTGTGTGAATGATAGGAATCCAAAAGTTGGAACTGTAGAACCAACTAGAAGTGGGTTAATGATAGGAATCCGAAAGTTGGAAGTGTAGAAGAACTAGAAGTAGGCGAATGATAGGAATCCAAAAGTTGGAACTGTAGAACCAACTAGAAGTGGATGAATGATAGGAATACAAAAATTGGAAATGTAGAACCAACTAGAAGTGGGTGAATGATAGGAATCCAAAAGCTGGAAATGTAGAACCAACTAGAAGTGGGTGAATGATAGGAATCCAAAAGCTGGAAGTGTAGAACCAACTAGAAGTGGGTGAATGATAGGAATTCAAAAGTTGGAACTGCAGAACCAACTAGAAGTGGGTGAATGATAGGAATCCAAAAGCTGGAAGTGTAGAACCAACTAGAAGTGGGTTCTTCTAGAGTTGGAAGAGACCCCTGGGGTCAACTAGTCCAACCCTCTTCTGCCAGGCATGAAAACACAATCAAGCTCTCCCAACGCATGGCCACCAAGTCCCTGAATCAAAACTTCCAGAGATAGAGACTCCACTCAACTCTTAGGCAGCAGCATATTCTGCTGTTAGGTTGCTCTTATCTTCAGGAAGCTCTCCCACATGTTTAGGTGGGGTCCCTTTTTCTACAAATTGACTCTATTTGCTCCTTATCTTGGTTTCTACAGCAACAGAAAACAAACTTTCCCCTTCCAAAATGTGGCATCCTTTCAAATATCTAAGCATGGCTTTTAGGTCCCCTCTCTCATTTTCTTCTGAAGGCTAAACATCCCCTGTTCCCGAAGCTGCTCCAAATAGGGATTCATGGCTTCCAGATCTCTGACCATCTTGGTTGTCTTTCTATGGATACTTTCCATCTTGACTGTATCCTTGGACCATCATGCCCAGACCCTGGCACAATATTATTCCGGATGAGGTCTGGGCAAAGCATAATAGAGTGGAATGCAAGGATTCATAAATCGCTTGTCCCATTGGAATACAAGGACTAGAATCCTGTTGGTGACAAGTGCATGTATAAACTCCTGTATTTCCTCCATATTGTGGAAACAGGGTCTCCAGTACCTCCTTCAACAGCCCTCTCCAAACTCATCCAGCTGACCTGTCACTTGCCAGAGTGTAGTTCCACAACAATATAATTGTTGGAGATAGAAAGCATTCAGGCCACATCAGGATGCATTTCTTCAGACAAAAGACCCTCAAAACATCCTCTTTCTTGAACTTCAAAAGATTTAGACGAGACCTTCCTTGTGCTTCAAGCTCCAGAAACATAATAAAAAGCTGCCTGGGTGTCCCTGCCCTCCTCTCATCACTAAATATAAGGCTGGAGGGTTTCAATTTTCATGTGTGCATTCCTCCCCTTATACCTGTATCTCTGTATATACCAAAAATGGGATTTTCCATGTGGGCAATCCCATAGTGCCACTAGTGGCGAATACTCTTGGGCAATCCCAGTACTGTCACCAAATGTGGAGGCTTTTACTTTTAACCTGCCAAATGTGAATGAAGCTCTCCATGGTATTCTCTACAAACACTCACATGAGGGTTTTACCCAATCTCCACCCTAGTCACTTGTAAGGACTTCTTCTTGTCCCCTTGCGTGATGCCAACTACAGGGTGATACTTGTTTGAAATTCCATAACCTATTAGAAATTCCATAACCTATTGAAAATAACCTTATTGAAAAAGTAAAAAATTGTGTCACATCAGTTTGGGAAATGTGAATCTCCATGAACATGTAGAGACCACCTTTTGAAAACAGCTAGTCAAGCAAAGCATGACCTTGTTAGAACAAGTGATATTCATAAACACTCATGGAATGGCACACAGGTAACTCAGCTGTTAAACTGAAGAACCATGTCTTTAAACTGCCAAGGATAAAGACATGGCACTACAAAAATATACTGGGTAGTAGAGGGTGGGTTTTTCTTTGCAGTTGAATTGCAGTTGTAATTGTAAATGCAGTTGCCGAAAAGGTATAAACTCCCTTAAAAACCTCTTAGTTAAAATATGCACTCAAGAGACAAAAATCAAAGTAGTCTTCTTTAAAAATATCATATTTGGTTTGCTAACAAACTTCCTGTATATGTTTAGCATACTAGTCCATAGTCCAAAGTCTTATAGCTTAAGGAGTTCAGTGAGTATAGCTGTACTCAGTGAAGTCCTTAAGTCATACTTCTCATGCACCCATCTCCACTGAGGTCTGATGCAAAACTGAATACAAAACTGAGTCCTGTGTCTAAAATCCCTTCCACACCAAAGAGGTGCAGTCAAACTGGCAGTCCAACCTTGTACATACAATATAGGTTAACAATTATATACATTTACAAACAGTTAGTGGAGACTTGGAAGGTGACTACTTTCAACAATGCTAAATGCCTGGAAAGTTCCTATGATGATTTCTTCCTGACCCCCTTATCGAGAAATCCAAAATCTCTTCTTCCAGACTACTTTACCGTTGAGATAAGACAGTGGTTGCTGTCTTCTTCAGTGTAGAGGATTCCATCCTTAATGAAGACAGAAATGGCTCGCAGGATGAAGGAAACAAAGAGGTTCATGTGAATAAAGTTCCGTGTACAGTGTAGTTTCCTGGAGAGAAGGAAAAGATCGCAAAGAATAAAAATCAGTCCCAAATTGCAGACTATTTCCCGAAATGTTGTTCTTAACTTGCACTCTTATATATACGTTTCCTACTATAGGTAGCTCTCCTCATTCATGGCATTTGGGGGACCAGAATCCCTGAAAGTGAAAAACCACAAATTTTTGTCCATGCTATGATAGGTTAGGTAAAGGTTTTCCCCTGACATTAAGTCCAGTCATGTCCAACTCTGGGACTTAGAGTTGTTCATAGAATCATAGAATCATTGAGTTGGAAGAGACCTCATGGGCCATCCAGTCCAACCCCCTGCCAAAAAGCAGGAATATTGCATTCAAATCACCCCTGACAGATGGCCATCCAGCCTCTGTTTAAAAGCTTCCAAAGAAGGAGCCTCCACCACACTCGGGGCAGAGAGTGCCACTACCGAACGGCTCTCACAGTCAGGAAGTTCTTCCTAATGTTCAGATGGAATCTCCTTTCTTGTAGTTTGAAGCCATTGTTCCATGTCCTCATCTCCAATTCTAAGCTGAAGAGCCGGCGTTGTCCGTAGACACCTCCAAGCTCATGTGGCCAGCATGACAGTACGGAGCGCCGTTACCTTCCTGCCGTAGTGGTACCTATTGATCTACTCACATTTGCATGTTTTGTAATTGCCAGGTTGTCAGAAGCTGGGGCTAACAGCGGGAGCTCACTCCGCTCCTCGGATTCAAACCTGCTACCTTTCGGTTTGTAAATTCAGCAGCTCAGGGGTTTAACCCACTGTGCCACTAGGGGCTCCGGACCATGCTATGATAGAATCATAGAGTTGTAAGAGACTATGTGGGCCATACAGTCCAACCCCTTGCCAAGAAGCAGGGGGTTGGACTGGATGTCGCTGGTCCCCACAGGTTGCAGGTTGCATCTGGGAAATGAAATGCCCCCATGTCTCCAGGAGAGGATTTGGAAGGGCAAAATCATTTATTGGCTTGAAGGCATACCAAAATTATTGTTCTGTCACGCGCTGGGCTTGAAACGAATTGCTTTTAAAACAGGACGTGCAACTTTAGCCTAGCGGGAAGCCAGGGGGCCCGAAGAGAAATTCTTAAGGATTTTCACTATAAACAGTCTCTAGAGGGCTTGTAAATATAACAAAGTATTTTATTGGTGAACAATCAACAGAAACTTCTTTTGTTTTCAAAAGGTTAAACAAATGCTTCAGGCTTTGTGCAACTGGTGGCTTCTAACTGTTACAATTACTCTAAAGGAAAATCCCTTTCCAAACTTCTCCCAGACTAACTGTGAACCTAAACCTAACTGATGTGGCTCCACTACCGGGCTGAACTGCGTCTCAAAACTGAGTGGACCTACCAGTAGGCCTGTAGTCACTTAGCTGGAGTTCTTGATGCTTAAAGCTGTTATTCCCTCCAAAATTCCTCAGGGCTGTAAGGCTGTTTCCCTGGGAACCTTTAGGAATCTTTAGATGCTCTTAAGACTGTTCTCCCCTGGGAAGTCTTAAGGGTTGAAGCCTTTGTACAGGAGGAAGTCTGTACGCGTCCTGTGCATTGACTTTCCTTGCTGAGACTGACTGAAAATGGCTCCCTTCCCTTCACAATTGTCCTGAACAGGGGCAGAACCAAACTTAATGATGATGGACAGGGGGTCTGCCCTATAACTGCAAACTTTAACAGGAAGCCACCCTTCTGCAGAATCCCAAGCTTTGGGCTGCAAGCAAACACTTAATACAAAGCAAATAAAGTGGGAGCTTCTGCACAATTATATTGACCTATGTTGTGGCTTGTGTTTGTTCCCCATCCTCAGATATCTACATATTGTCACTCACCACTGCAAACTCACCTGAAACGGCACAAGATCACCATTGCGGTGGTGAGAGACACCAGGGATGTACTATAACCGACTGTGTACAGAGCTTTTACTGAGAGGAAGTAGTATTTCTGAGAAAGCAAAGTAAAACAGGGTCACGTTTATGGGAGAGAAATATAGCAGAGCACCAACATTTTCTCTTTCCTGGAACAAAATTTATTTCTTTTATCTATATCCCTGAAATGTGAGACAGAAGAGACATAATTGTGTATGCCTTTCCCTGTTAAGAATGCCAATTCCCTCATGTTTCAAGTGCAGAAATGAGAAACTTTCTCCTGCAAGAATTCTTTGCACATTCTCTAGTGGAGTATTTGCATCTTTTCTTGGAATATAGTTACCAGAAAAAACATTGCTGGCAGATGCCGATCACAAAGTCACACTAGAGGACTCTGAGATTGCTACAGAGATTGTATTAATCAAATCTGTATATAATCAAATCTGCCAAAGTTAACTCCAAAGATCTGGAGGGCCAACATGGGACGCTCTTTCATGAAAGCTTCCACCTACTCCAAATGACCTTATTTTCAAGGCAGGTTGAAAACATATCTTAGCACAATTTGTTTATATCAACCTGAAATCTATGTTTAACATTTATTTTAATATGCATGTATATGCAAATGTCTATACTGATTTTTTTCTTATGGTTGGCTCTACACCTCATAGTGCCAGAACGCAGCCTGTTCAACACCTTCCAAGTTGCCCAGGAAAGAGTCTCTCATTTGGTATCAGCTTCTGATTGATGTCCCATGTTTTAGCCTGCCACTTTTGGACTCTTGCTTGCTGAGATGTTCCTGTGAGTATCTCTGTAGATCTTACAAAACTATTTCTTGATTTAAACCATTGGCCTGCTGGCTGATAACCAAACAGGGGGTGGGCTGGAGATGTCACTGCCTTGGTCCTTTCATTATTGGCTGTACCTGTACCTTGGGAAGTCTGATCTGGCCACAGTGGTCCATGCTCTTGTTACATCCCAAATAGATTACTGCAATGCGCTCTCTACGTGGTGTTGCCTTTGAAGACTGTTCGGAAACTTCAAGTAGTCCAGCGGGCGGCAGCTAGACTTCTCACTGGAGCATCATACAGAGGGCATACCACCCCTCTGTTATGTCAGCTCCACTGGCTGCCGATTCACTTCCAAGCACAATTCAAAGTGCTGGTCTTGACCTATAAAACCCTATACGGCACTGGCCCAGAGTACCTGTCCGAACGTATCTCCTTCTAAAAACATCAATTTAAAATTGCACAAGTTCAAATAGACTGATCAAATGTCCCAACCTACCTGATTATTATCTGGCATGGTGTCATTCTCGTCAAATCCGCAGGCATCGTAATAATGTGGGTAAGGTTCTGACCAGCCATCCTCAGTGCAGTTCCTGCTGACCATCTTTGCTTCTGAAGAGTCACCTAGTCAGTAAAACAAGCATAGAACATCTATGGAGAAAGGTTGCACAATGGGAGATAGAAAGTAGTGCAAAAGTCCTGAACTTGTTGGGATGGTTGCTTTGGAGTGGTTCTTAAAAATAGTGTATATACTTGAGTATAAGCCTAGTTTTTCAGCCCCTCTTTTAGGCTGAGAAAGTTCCCCTTGCTTTATCCTCGCGTCAAGGTTATTTATTATTTTACTCTTATTATTTTACTATTATTATTATTATTATTGTATTTACATTATTTTACTCTATTATTATTATTACATGTATTACTTGACTCTATTATTATTGTATTTACATTATTTTACTCTATTTATTATTATTATTATTATTATTACTTGACTCTATTTATTATTATTATTATTACATATATTATTTTACTCTATTGTTACTGTTATTATTACATTTCCATTATTTTACTCTAACATTTATTATTATTATTATTATTATTATTATTATTATTATTATTATTTGAAACACAACCACGCTCTGGTTACATCCTGTTTAGACTACTGCAACGCTCTCTACGTGGGGTTGCCTCTGAAGACTGCCCGGAAGCTTCAATTAGTCCAACGAGCGGCAGCCAGATTGCTAACAGGAGCGAGGTAGAGAGAGCATACGATTCCTCTGTTACGCCAGCTCCACTGGCTGCCAATTAGCTTCCGAGCACAATTCAAAGTGCTGGTCTTGACCTATAAAGCCTGTTGGGGTTCAGCCTGATCCTGATCTGTGTGAACCGGATTCTCTGACAGTTTTTCCAACTGAGCAAGCTCTCCCTGACCCTGACAGTGTGGAATCTGTTGTTGATACAGAGGTCAACGGTGATGAAAATGAAACTCAACAGCTGGAGGAAAATGTTTTGGAAACTAGCCGTGATATCTCTCCACCTGGGTTTTTTAATGAGGACCGAAGAGAACAGATAGTTAGAGAGAGACAGAAATGTTTCCCAGTTTCTACGAAGGTCACTTCGTTTACAGGAGAGACAGGCCCAGGCTCCAAAGTCAAGGGGCGTTTCAAAGAATAGCTTCTTTGGTTTAAGAGGCCTCCTGCCGGGTGCCTCTTTAGATCAAGTAACGTTTGAGACTGTGGCTGTGCCTTGGCAGAATTCCTGTGTTTCATGGTCAGTAATCCCAGAGGCTTGTATTTATCAAGTTCATGGTTAGTAAAAGACTAACAGGTTCCTGGTTCTTGTATTGTGGCTTTTGAAATTTTGCTCAAGTTCAGAGATTCTACTGACTGCTGTGTTTTTCTGTGACTTTTTGACTTTGCATTTACCTTTCTTTTGTAACCAATTTTTCATCAAAAAACAAGGATTGCTTTTCCTACAGTCCAGTGTGGTGGATTTAATCTTATGGTCTCGTTTCTTGAACTGGGATGCAACAAAGCCCTAAATGACTCTGGCCCAGTTTACCTGTCTGAACGGATTCTTCCCTATGAACCATCAAGGTTACTAAGATCTTCCGGAGGGGTCCTGCTCTCGGTCCCACCACTTTCGCAATCATGTCTGGTGGGAACGAGGGATAGGGCCTTCTCGGTGGTGGCCACTCGGCTTTGGAATTCCCTCCCACCAGAGATTAGATCTGCTCCTTCCCTCCTGACCTTTATGAAGCTAACAAAAATTGGCTTTGGGATATGGCATTCGATGATTGAGTCAATAACCTTTGTCCACATGGAAGGATGGCGATGTATTGGGACTGTATTTGACGACTTGGCTTGTGTAATATGATGATGTTTTTATTGTATTTTATATTTCAATGTATAATGATGATGCACTGTGCTGTTTTTTATATTACTGTATATGAACACATGTTGTGAACCGGCCTGAGTCCCTCCTTGGAGGTGAGAAGACTGGTATATAAAACTTCTAAATAAATAAATAAATAAGATGAGTCCACAGCAAATAAGATCACTTTGCTCGTTGTTGTATTGGATCACACGTCGGACACTTCCCAAGTGTCTAGGACTGTGTGATGTATCAGCGAATAATGCGTGCAGATCCCAGTAAGGTGGCCCTTTGCAGCTGACAGATGGTAATTTTGTCAGTGCAGATTGTGTTTAAGTGCAGGCCAAGGTCTTTAGGCACTGCACCCAGTGTGCCGATCACCATCGTGCCAGAGTATTTGCAGTTTGATCTTTAAATCCTCATATTGTGTTAGCTTTTCCAGTTGTTTCTCTTCAATCCTGCTGTTGCCTGGGATTGCAACATCAACGATCCATAATTTGTTTTCTAATATGATCATGAGGTTAGGAGTATTATGCTCCAAAACTCTGTCAGTCTGAATTCGGAAGTCCCACAGTAGTCTTACATGTTCATTTCCATAACTTTTTCAGACCAGTCCTTTGTCGCAGGCAGATGGTATTTGTGGCACAAGTTCCAATTAATCATCTGAGCAACGGTGTTATGCCTCTGCTTGTAGTCTGTCTGCGCGATCTTCTTGCAGCAGCTGAAGATGGGATCTATCGTTTCATCTGCTTCCTTGCAGAGTCTACACTTGGGATCTGTCGTCGACTTTTCAATTCTGGCTTTGATGGCATTTGTTCCAACTGCTTGTTCTTGAAATGCAAGAATCAGGCCTTCTATCTCCTTTTTCAAAGTTCCATTTCTATTATTATTACTAGCTGTTCCCTGCCACATGGGGGTTCTGTGTGGGAGGTTTGGCCCATTTCTATCATTGGTGGGGTTCACAATGCTCTGTGATTGTAGGTGAACTATAAATCCCAGCAACTACAACTCCCAAATGTCAAGATTCTATTTTCCCCAAACTCCACCAGTGTTCACATTTGAGCATATTGAATATTTGTGTAGAGTTTGATCCAAATCCATCATTGTTTGAGTCCACAGTGATTTCTGGATGTAGGTGAACTACAACTCCTAAATCAAAGGATACTGGCCACCAAACCCTTCCAGTATTTTCTGTTGGCCATAGGAGAACTGTTTGCCAAGTCTGGTTCAATTCCATCATTGGTGGGGTTCTGAATGCTCCTTGATTGTAGGTGAACTATAAATCCCAGCAACTACAACTCCTAAATGACAAAATCATTTTTTTGAGTGAAGGACATACATTGGGTTGTTAGTTTTCTTGTGTCCAAATTGGTGTCAATTCCCCCGGTGGTTTTTGAGTTCTGTTAATCCCACAAATGAACATTACATTTTTATTTATATAGATTTTTACTACTACTACTACTACTACTACTACTACTATTATTACAATTATTATTTTACTCTTCACTATTATTATTGGAAGGATAGGTAAGCTAAGCACATTGAAGAAGGTAAGAAAAATGGTTTAATCAGAATTGGACCGTTGTATATAAAATTACATTTTTATGTAAATATTCAAAAACATTTAACCTACTGATGCCTCAATTAATGTAATATTATTGGTATGTATTTTTATTTTGAAATTTACCCATAGCTGATGCATTTTCCACCCTCGGCTTATACTTGAGTCAATATGTTTTCCCAGTTTTTTGTGGTAAAATTAGATGCCTCAGCTTATACTCGGGTTGGCTTGTACTTGAGCATATATGGTAAAAACTTTCAATTGTATTTCCAAATGTATTTCCCCCTTAAACTCACAGGATTACAGCTATATAGGTTGCTGCCCCTATATTTTCCCATTGACCAGGAAATTGTGTCATCTCTCTGTCTCCTATTCCTGCCCCTTCTTTTCCTATAAATGTTTTTCACATCATTGAAGAACTTTGCAATAAAATTGCCAATCAGCCACATCAATGGCCGCTACCTTGCCAGCAAAGGCAGCTGTATCAGCAACCAGCGCTTGGATGAAACCCATTATAAATAATGAGTCACTGGTTGGGACATAACGCTGCACTATGGTGGTTTTCAAAAGAAGCAATGAGTAATTTGTGTAACTTTCTTCCTCCTGCCTACAGGATGTATTTGATGTGTATTTGATCTGATGAACCAACCTGGACACAGCATGTTATTTGAGAACACAGAAATGCTGGACCACTCCCACAACCACCATGTCAGACTGCACAGAGAAGCCATTGAAATCCACAAGCATGTGGACAATTTCAACAGAAAGGAGGAAACCATGAAAATGAACAAAATCTGGCTACCAGTATTAAAAAACTCTAAGATTACAACAACAAAACAACAGAGAGGAAACAAACAAGGACATCTAATCACTTCTCAGCAAAAGTTTGCTCTAGGCACTGTCAGGCCATTATATGCTAATCAAGGTGGTCAGTTGAAACATTCACACCTAGCTCTGGCAGACAAGAGTCCTTTGTCCCAACTTGGTCATTCTACATATATATAAACCCTTTTTCCTAGTTCCAACAGACCTCACTACCTCTGAGGATGCTTGCCATAGATGTAGGTGAAACGTCAGGAGAGAATGCCTCTAGACCATGGTGATATAGCCCGAAAAAACCTACAACAACCCAGCCCATCAGTTGTTACCCTGAATTATAGATGAATGTGTGGTTGGTGGATTGGTGGTTGAGAAGGGTTTTGGAACTGCAAGTAGGTTTGCTGAATATCATCAAGGAGACATCCAACTGGTTGAGTTGGCCCCTTGCTTCAGCCCATGGTTGGAATGGAGATAAGTTGGAAGGCAAATCCATTTGAGATGATTTTCCCTTTGGGAGCATGATGAGTGATGAAGTTTTATTCATGTTAGTGCCAAGTTGAACATGGCCTGAGGTTCAGTGAGCATGGCTTGGCTTCCATGATTTTGGCTCATGAGACTTATTTTATCTTGAATCTTTAAATTGCCTGATAGTGCCTCCAGTTACTTTAAAGTGGTTTTATTAATTGCACCTGTAGATGGAAGGACTTCAGAGGTAGGAAGGGACACAACAGGGGTGTGACTATGGGAATTAAGACAGCAAACAGAGTACACTGCCTCTCCATGGCTGCATCTATATTGCAGAATTACTACAGTTTGATGCCATGGCTCAGTGCTATGGAATCCTCAGATTTAAAGAACAGAAAGGAGGAAAACA